ATATATATGTATATATATATATATATATACACACACACACACACACACGGATAATTATATATATATAATATATATAAATACATATGAAGGATAATTATATATGTATATATATAATTATCCTTCATATATTCGTAATGATAACCACACACCAAAGATTCATAACTGAAGTATATAACATAAAACAAGAAGGACCAGAGGGAAAACTTACACAAAGCCCAAACAAAATAAAGAAAACAGAAACACAGGGACAAGGAAGCAATGGAAACACCGAGATTCCAGGAGCAAAAGATAAAATGGCTATAAGAAGACCTCATATCTCAATAATCACCCTAAATGTTAATGGACTGAACTCACCAATAAAAAGACACAGAGTTGCAGAATGAATCAAATAACAAAACCCAATCATAATATGCTGCCTCCAGGAGACACATCTCAATTCAAAAGAAAAATAGACTCACAGCGAAACGGTAGAAAAATGATACTTCAAGCAAATGTCATTCAGAAAAAAAGTGGGAGTAGCAGTACTAATATCGGATGAAACAGACTTCAAAATAAAAAGGTAAAGAAAGATACTAAGGGACACTTCATAATGATAAAGTTAATCGTGCATCAAGAAGACATAACACTTAGTAATATCTATGCTCCGTATCAGGGAGCCCTGAAATATATAAAGAAAATACCAACAGAACTAAAGGGAGAAACAGACCAAACCATTATCATACTAGGAGACCTAAATACCCCACTGTCTCATATGGACAGATCATCCAAACAGAAAATCAATAAGCATATCATCCTTAAATGACACATCAGACCACCTGGACATAATTGACATTTACAGAGGCTTTCATCCTAAAACACTTGCATATACATTCTTCTCTAGTGTACATGGAACATTATCAAGGATTGACCACATACTGGGACACAGAGATACCCTCAACAAATATAAGAGGGTTGAAATCATACCAACCGTATTCTCTGATCATATTGCTTTGAAAATGAAGATCAACTGCAAAAAGAAAGCAGGAGTCACTGAAGAAAAATGAGAAAGGACACAAATAAACAAAATCAAGGATGAAAGAGGGGAAATTACAACAGACGTCGCAGAAGTACAAAGGATCATACAAGAATACTATGGAAAAGTATATAACACTACATTTAATAACCTAGATGAAATAGATTAGTACTTAGAAAAATACAACCTTCTTAGACTGAATCAAGAAGAACTGGAAAATCTAAATAGACTGATCGGCAGTATGGAAATGGAAGCAATAATCAAAAAACTACCAAAAGTAAAAGTCCAGGACCAGATGGCTTCACCAGTGAATTCTACCAAACATCCAAAGAAGATTTAATAAATATTCTCCTCAAACTCTTCCAAAAAAATCAAAGAGGATATATTTCTTCCTAACTCCTTTTATGAGGCCAATATTACCCTGATACCAAAATCTGGTAAAGATAACACAAAATAAAGGAAACTACAGACCAATATTTCTCATGAACACAGATGCTAAAATCCTAAATAAGATACTGCTGCACCAAATACCGCAACATATGAAAAAGATTATACACTATGATCAAGTGGGCTTCATCCCAGGGGCACGGGAATGATTCAACATAAGCAAATAGATTAATGTGATATACTACACAAACAAATTAAAAAATAAGAATCCTATGATCCTATCAATAGATGCAGAAAAAGTCTTCGACAATACGGCAGCCATTTATGATCAAAACACTTAACAAAATTGATATAGAAGAAAAGCACCTTAATATCATAAAGGCCATATATGACAAACCCTCAGCCAACATTATGCTTAATGGGGAAAAACTAACCTTCCCTCTAAGATCAGAAACAAGGCAAGGCTGTCCACTATTGCCACTGTTATTCAATATAACATTGGAAGTGGTAGTGAATGTAATCAGGCATGAGAAAAATATAAAAGGCATCTAAAGAGGAAACAAAGAAGTCAAACTGTCATTATTTGTGGATGACATGATCTACTATATAGAAAACCCTAAAGACTCCACAAGAACATTACTAGAAACAATAAACAAATACAATAAAGTTTCTGCATATAAAATCAATGTTCAAATCCACAGCATTCCTATACTCTAATAATGAAGTTCAGAAAAAGATGTGGAAAAAATAATTCCTTTTGCAATTGCAAGATAAAGAATAAAATACCGAGGAATAAATCTAATGAAACATGTGAAGGACCTATATAATGAAAACTATAAGACCCTATTAAAACAAAGAAGATACAAAGAAATGAAAAGATATTCCATGTTCTTGGATTGGAAGAATCAACAAAATTAAAATGACCTTATTACCTAAAGCATTATACAGATTTCATGCAATCCCCATCAAAATCCCATCGGCATTTAAAAAAAATATATAGAACAAAAAATCATCCTTTGTATGGAAGCACAAAAGAACCCAAATTGCCAAAGCCAACCTAAGAAAAAAGAACAAGGCTAGAGGCATCAGTCTGCCTGACTTCAAAATTATACTACAAAGTGATCGTAACAAAACAGCATGGTATTGGTAGCAAAACAGACACACAGACCAGTGGAACAGAATCAAGACTCCAGAAGTAAACCTAAATTTATATGGGCATATAATTTTTGACAAGAAAGCCAAAAATATACAATGGAGAAAGGAATGCCTCTTCAATAAATGGTGCTGGGAAAACTGGAAAGCCACCTGCAAAAGAATGAAACTAGACTGTTGTCTATGACCACGCACCAAAATTACTCAAAATGGATTAAGGACCTGAATATAAGACCTGAAACAATAAAATGCATAGAAGAAAACATAGGAACTAGACTCAAAGACCTTAGACTTAAAGAGGATTTTATGAATTTGACCTCAAAAGCAAGGCAAGTAAAAGTTGAAATAAATGAATGAGACTACATCAAACTAAAAAACTTCTGTACAGCATAAGAAACAGTAAACAAGGTAAAGAGATAACCATCCGAGTGGGAAAATATATTTTCAAGCAACGTCTCCAATAGGGCCTAAATATACAAGGAACTCCTACAACTCAATAACAAAAATACAAACAGTCTAATCAAAAATTGGGCAGAGGACCTGAACAGACACTTCTCCCTAGAGGACATACAAATGGCCAACAAATATATGAAAAGATGCTCAACACTGCTAGCTATTAGGGAAATGTATGTAAATCAAAACCACAATGAGATCCTATCTCACACCTGTTAGAATGGCTATAATTGACAAGTAATAACTAATGTTGGAGAAGATGTAGAGAAAAAGGAACCCTCATATACTGCTGGTGGGACTGCAAACTGGTACAGCCACTATTGAAAACAGTACGGAGGTTCCTCAAAAAACTAAGAATTGATCTACATTATGTTCCAGCAATCCCTCTACTGGGTATTTACCCCAAAGACTTGAAAACTCATATCCAAAAAGATATTTGTACATCCATGTTCATAGCAGCATTATTCACAGTGACCAGGACATGAAAGTAACCGAAATGTCTTATGATAGATGATTGGTTAAAGAAGCTGTGGCACAATGGAATATTACTGAGCCATAAGAAGAGATGCAATACTGCCATTTTTGACAACATGGATGGACCTCAAGATAATCATGCTAAGCAAAATAAGCCAGACAGAAAATGCTGAAAATCACATGATATAACTTATATGGGGGATATAAACCTAAAAGCAACAAATGAACAGGACAAACAGACTCATGGAAGTGGACAATAGACTAGTGGTTACCAGAAAGGACGAGGGAGAGGCGAGGCAGACAGGGTAAAGGGGGTCAAATATGTGGTGACAGAAAGAAATCTAACTATGGGAGGTGAACACAAATGTAAATAAACATATGCCTTACTGTTAAAATGTACAGCTGAAACCAGATTTCGTTAACAAATGTCACCACAAAAAATAAATTAATTAATTTTTAAAAATTATGTTTTTCAAATAAGTTAGTTCTCTAGCAGTTCCCGGGGGTGTGAAATTTGCTGTAGATATCATTAAGAATTTATGGAACTAAGCAAATTTTGTGTTGCAATACTTTGCAGTTATGTGTATAGATACTCTAATGGTTCCATCTTCGACTAGTTGGAGCCTCTTCCAACTGATTCCTTTTCCATGACCATTCTATCTAAAATTACCCCATTTTAAGCTAAGCAGGGTCAGGCCTGGTTAGTGCTTGGATGAGAGACCACCTAGGAAAACCAGGTGCTGTAGACGTAAAACATAAAAAAAAAAATTAAGGGACTGCAAGCTGACAAGGTCCTTGCAATCTGTGAGGTCAATCAAGGGTTGCCTCACCTAAAAATAAATAAATAAATAAATAAATAAATAAATAAATAAATAAGTGCATAAATAAATAAATAAAATAAAGCTACTCCATTTTCCAATCATAATTGTCCACATTCTTACTCTATTCACTTTTTTTCATAATACTTAATCACTTCATGATATTTGGTAATCCATTTGTTTATTGTATAACTTTCCTACTACAATGTAAACTCTATGAAAAACGGTAATGAAGAAATATATACATAAAAAGCAAAATACAAAAGATGAGCTACAAAGAAAATTGGATCCAAAATACAGGAAAAATCATTTTCATGAGGGAAGAAAGCTTTCCCCCATTAAAATGAGAGGGAAATACAAGAGAAGAAACAAGTGGTGAAATTTCTTTGGTGGCTCATGCTGAGGTATAAATTTTTTTCCCAGGTTTCAGATTTTTTCTTTATAATCAACCTTGAAGGGGTGTGTTTCCTTCCCAATCAGCAGGACTGTGCTATGTCACAATGGCTTACCTCTGCCTAATTAGCACTTACTCACCTAGGCACCATTCTTTTTTCTCATCCTTCACAACCATCCAAGGTTCTTTCCCTTGCTCTAATAGGGTTATCACACCTGGCTTGGAAGTAGAACATCCTGCATGAAAAAAAAGAAAAAGGAATATAATAAAGTATTTACTTGATCAAGCCTCAGAACAAAGAAGAGCAATGGGATTGAAAGCATTCATGTTAGAGTTACTTCAGGATCACACACACTGACAGAGCCATAGGAACATCATCTTATTTTAATTTAAACTCACACAGGCTGTCTCTTGAGGGAAAGTTAATGACCGAGACCTCTGGTTTCAAATCCTCCCTGTCACCTTGGTCACAAGGGCCTGTTTCCTCAGTTGTAAAAAGGGAAAAGTCTACCCATAGTATTATTGTGAGGTTTGAATTAATAAACAAAGTGCTTGGATGAGTCTCTAATACTTAGTAGGCATTATATGTTTAATAGGTACTACTTTTGCTATTTTTTCACATTTTGCTAAGAAGAAAATAATTAGTTTCTTGCCAGGATATTCATTCAATGTTAAATGCAAAGTTTATACATTTTAAACTTCTAATCGTAAATCGATTAAAAGCTAATATGTCTAATGTAGTAAATTTAATATGTTCACTTGAGTTTTAACAGTTGACTCAATCCATCATTATATATATTGTATAAGTTTTTCAATAGGTATATAGAGCCAGACATCTCTGTCTTCCTACTCGCACTGCAGGTGAGTTGGCGTATAACAGACTACCTACAGCAGTATGAAACCAGATTTCTTTGACAATGGTTTTGCTGTGAGACTCTAAGAATTTACACCCAGTTGTCATTAAAGAGAAACAATTACAAAAAAGACAAAAGAGATATAAAGGTTACTGAATTATGGGGGAAGTTGAAGGTGTTACATTATAGCTTAAGAGCTGAAGGTGCCTATTCCTAAACTACAAAGCAGATACTCAGCTAATTTTTAAGAACAGAAGCCCTGAAATTCAATCCTATGAATTTCTAAATTATTTGACACAAACTTACCCACTGACACCAAGTTGCTATAATTCTCTAATATCACATCTCTGTACAAATTCCTCTGGTATGAGTTCAGGCATTCCCACTCTTCCTGAGAAAAGTCTATAGCCACATCTCCGAACATTACCAAATCCTGAAATGACAGACCCACGTGTTATTTGTAAAACTATTTCTGTAAAGGGCCAATATTTTAGGCTTTGCATGCCACATATGGTGTCACATTTCTATTTCCTCTTCTTTTTTTAAATGATTCTTTCAAAATGGCAGAGATCATAAGCTATACAAAAACAGGCCATGGACTGAACCTGGCTCACAAGCTATAGTTTGTTTGCCTACCACTGCTATAGACAAAACTGCCTCTGTACTGTGGAATCCCTAATTTTATATATGTTCAGGTAATTATCAGAATTTCCCAATTTAATGAAAGCGTTCATAAGAACACTGCTTGCAATGGACCTAAAAAATTCTCAATGTGATTTACTCTAACCTCTTTTCCTTTAAGGATTAGAGAAAAAAACTGATGGAATTCTTTTCCCCAAACGAACCATAAAATCTTTATTTTAAAAAGTAGAGTTTGCATAACATTCAAGAATTTCTTCCACACCTAATGTCATGATTGTGTTCTATCATTAGCATTTTTCCTTATTATAACAAATCCTTTATTGAATATTTTTGATTTACTACACAATAGTCCATTTTATAGATATCTCAGATTTAATGATTATATTTAGATATTTCTACTTTTAAATATATTATGTTTAGAATTTAGATTACACGAAACCTCTAAAGCTGCAATGTCCAATATGTTAGCTTAGACACATGTGGTTAATGAGCTCCTGAAATGTGCTTAGTCCAAATTTAGATGTGCTGTTCAGTATAAAATACACACCAGATACTGATGACTTTAGAAAGAGAAACAAAAAGTAAAATACCAACAATTTTGATATTGATTATACTTTGAAATAATATGTTTAGCTATATTGGGTTAAATAAAACATTAAAATTAATTGCATGGGAGACTAGCCAACATGGCATAGAAGTTAGATGTTATGCATGCCTCCTCTCGCGACCATACCAAAATTACAACAAAATTACAGAGCAACCGTAACTGGTATTCACCTGAAGTCTGGCCGAACAGAAGTCCTACAACTGGGGACATATGTAAGAGGCAGGTAGAAGGAGCAAAGAAGCAAAACAGCCAGCTCCACAATAGCATGTGGCAGTTGAGAATCTGGAAGGTTATCTTGGGTGTAGAGCTCCTGCCCCCCCACCTCCCAGGAGCAAGGTGTCCCGACCTCACACTGGGCTCCCCAGCCCAGGGCTCCAGTGCTGATAAGAGAGACGTCTCCACAGCTCTGGCTGTGAAAACCAGCAGAGACTGTGGCTAAGTGAGACAGAGGGCTGTGGGAATTGCAGACCTTCCTCTTAAAGAGCACATGCCTAGACATACTCTCGGTGAGGACTCACTGGCTCCAAGCTCCAGTGCTGGAACAGCTGCTCAAGGAGAGACAGGGACATATGGGGAGACACTGAATTGTCGGGCCTCAGGGTGAGGGCTGGAGGGGCAAATTTCTCCCAGACAGAAGGGCTAGCAGAGTGCATTGTTCATTGGTTGAGCCCTTCTCCATCCCAGTGTGTGGAAACAGGCAGCCGCTGCCATACTTGAGCCTTTACCAACCTGGATAACGCAGATCTCTCCACCCAGAAGATTCCCTGAGACTCTACTTCTCCCAAATTGCTGACCCACCTTAAGCTCCTTCCAATGGCCTGGCTTCGCTCATTTATTCATATTTTTTGCTGTGGACTTTCCTAAAATCTTGCAAAGGCTCACAAAACCCAATGAAGTAGCTTCTGGCCTCAGCATGCTCCGTACTTCTTGCTGAGCAGCACCAAGCCTGGCACTAGTGGCAGCCAGCCTCGGTTTCTCGCTTGGCCTCTCAAGGCACCTATAAACCCAGCATGGGTGGCAGCCATCTGCGGATTGCTTGGTGAGTCTCACCAGGTGGCCCTGAAGTGCACAAGCTGTGGCTGAACTTCGCCTGCAGCTGGGCCCTTCCCAGCTGGCCTGCTTTGATCAGGGACAGAGTTGGAGTAGCCCCCAGGGCTGCATCTGATGAGGACACACCCAAAAAGCAGACTGGGCAAGCACCAGAGCCCTGCTAAAGTGAATTCTGCTTTGTAGGGTCAGCCTTTCACCCTCCAATCCTCCTGACCAGTCAGCCCAAGAGTCAATCCCTCCCACTGTTGTGCAAACAGCAAGCGAGGCTCAAGCAACTCACACAAGGGACATACCTTGAGCACTTTGCTCAGGTGACCAGGGAAGACTGCCACTAGGCCCCATAGGACACCTACCTCATAAAGCCAGGAGACTTAGAAGCCCTACCTAATACATAGAAACAAACACGGGTAAGTGGCCAAAATGGAGAGACAAACAAACAGGTCCTACATGAAAGAACAGAACAAAGCTCCAGAAAAAGAACTAAACAAAGTGGAGACAAGCAATCTAACAGATGCAGAGTTCAAAACACTGGTTATAACGATGTTCAATGAACTTAGAGGAAGAATAGATGATCTCAGTGAGAACTTTAAGATAGAAAACATAAAAATGGAGGTGGAAAACATGAAAGGGAACCAGTCAGAAATGAAGAATACAATATCTGATATAAAGAGAGCATTAGAGAGAATCGACAGTGTGGATGAAGCGAAGTATCAAATCAGCGATTTAGAGGATGGGGTAGTGGAAAACACACGATCAGAACAGCAACAAAGAAAAAGAATCCAAAAAAAAAAAAATGAGGATAGTTTAAGGGGTCTCTGGCACAGCATCAAGAAATAATGACTAAAAACTTCCCTAACCTGGCGAAGAAAATAGACATACAATCCCAGGAAGCGCAGAGAGTCCCAAAGAAGATGAACTCAAAGAGGCCCACCCCAAGACATTATAATTAAAATGCCAAAGGTTAAATACAAAGAGAAAATCTTAAAAGCAGCAAGAGAAAAGCAATTAAGTTATCTACAAGGGAGCTCCCATTAAACCATCAGCTAATTTTTCAACAGAAACTTTGGAGGCCAGAGGGGCCTGGGACAAAATTTCAAAGTGATGAAAAGCCAGGACCTACAACCAAGATTACTTTACCCAGCACGGCTATCATTTAGAATCAAAGGACAGATAAAGAGCTTCCCAGACACAAAAAAAGCTAAAGGAGTTCATCACCACCAAGCCAGTATTACAGGAAATGTGAGAGGGACTTCTTTGAGAAAAAAATATACGTGTATCAAAAATATGAATAAAGAGTGGCATCGAATACCTCAAATGAAAAAGAACTAAGTGCTCCAATCAACAGATAGGGTGGCTGAATGAATAAGAAAACAAGACCTGTACATATGCTGCCTACAAGAGACCTACTTCAGATTAAAAGACACGCAGAGACTAAAAGTACAGGAATGAAGAAAGATATTCATGATAGACCATAAGAGTATTGTGCTGAGTGGAGTAAGTCAGTCAGAGAAAGACAAATACCATATGATTTTATGTACATGTGGAGTCTAAAGAACAAAACAAACAAAAAAAAGAAACAAACTCAAAGATACAGAGAATATTTTGAGGATTATGAGATGGAAGGGGGTTGGGGAATAGGTGACAAAGGGGGAAGAAATTAAGAAGTACAAAATGGTAGTTACAAAATAGTCATGGAGATATAAAGGATAGCATAAGGAATACAGTCGATAACTATACAGTGAGATGGGTACTAGATTTATTGGGGTGATCACTTTGTGAGATATATAGATGTCTAATCACTAAGTTGTAACCTGAAACTAATATAATATTGTATGCCACTATAAATGGAAAATAAATATTATTTAAAAAATTACATTTTTCTACTTTCTTAAATGTGGCTACTAAAAAGTTTAAGATTATGTTTGTGCCTTGCATATTGCTGTATACTTTTTATGAGACTGACATCCTATCTATTGCATGAAGGCACTAATTCTATGATACTTTTAATATGTGACTAGTAGAAAATTTAAAATTACATATGTGCTCACATTATAATGCTTTTGGACAGCACTGCTCTAAAGTGTTCTCTAGTCCTGAGTCTCAGATCAAGTATCCCCCTCTAGACACTTCATTTCTGCTTTATTTCTGCTCTAGACAAAGGCTGAACACACAGGAGATGCTGAATAATTTGGTCACTTCACACATGGACATTGATGGAGAAGAGTGGGGCACTCAGGAAGGGCCTGGGCTGCCGAGTTCCATCCCTCATTAGAATGGGAGGAACTGGGAAGAACCTGTCGGATGGGGCTCTGTTACGAAGCTTCAGGATAAGTAATGAGAATGTTCTCATAACTTGAAAAAAAAAAATTACAGAATTTCAAAGAGAGAAACGCCAACTTACATGAGCCATGATTTTAGAGTTGAAAGAACTGGTCCGTTTTCTTCAAGGGACTTTCCCTAGAGCAGAGTCCACAGAAGCCAGGCTGGGGGAAGAATGTGAAGCCTTAACAGAACTGCCTCAGAACTCCAAATATTAAAAACCCACACTACTCCATTCCTACATGCAACAGCCCTGCAACCCACAACACACTGACGAGTCATGAGGTAAGAGGTAGTTTAGACAAATACATATCCTCCCCCAAACCACAGAAAAATCAGTTGCACTAGTCACAAAGCACAGACTCCCCTGCATAGAAGCACATGTCAAGACAGGAGGGCTTCCAGTAAGTGACCCACTATGGGTAAGCTGATGTGGACCTAAAAAAGGGCTGTCCAGACCTGTCCTGAGCATATCCGTCTTCCTCCATTCCCACCTCTCCAGCAGAGAAGTAGCTATATCATCTAAACCAAAGCTTCCTTTTAAGACTTAGGAATCTGGTTGAGCTCTCTAAACCAGAAGGCAGAAAATAGTATGGACAAGAATTTCCCAAACTTTTCTGCACATTCAAATCATATGCAGATCTTTACAATATAATGATGCTGAACTCCCATCCCCCCAACATTCTGATTTAATTAGTTTAGAGTGTGACCTGGGAATCACAATTTTTAAAATCTATGGTTTTATAAAACCTCCCCAGGTGATTATAATTGGCAGTAAAGTTTGGTAATCAAACATCATATACATCATAATCACCTGGAAGGCTTATTACAACAGTTTGCAGGGTTGTAACCTACTAAACTCCTAGAGTTTGGCATTTGGTAGGTTTGGGGTTGGGCTTAAGAATTTGTATTTTTAGAAGTTCTCAAATGATACTGATACTGTTGGTCCAGATGCCACAATTTGAGAACCACTTGCATAAGCCATGCCTAGCAGTCTTTGTCATGGCAAAACTATACTTGCACACTGAGATCCCTTTCCCATTCTCACAATCCTCAGAGCTCATCGTTCACCATTTCCTGTTTAGAATCATCAATAAAGCCTGCATGATCTAATCTACCAACCCATCTTTCTTGGTAACCAGGCTGGGGAAAAGTGAATTTGTTAAATCTGAGCATGGATAGTTCTCTACAAAGTAGAAATAACTCATTGGTTAAAGCTCACTAGAGACTAAGGAGGTGCATAGTAAAATAATTCGCTTTGCAGATTTGAAAAATTGATAATACCTCATACTTATGGCATAATGTAGAAAAAAATGAAATGTGTGAAAATGTTTTTAATGGGATCAGAAAAGCCAAAAAGGCCAAAAAAAACCCACAAAAATATCCTTCAACAAGGTTAAATAAATTATCGTGCATTTACACATTGTAAAACTACACACCCACAAAAATGAAGGTGAAATTATTTAATGTAATGAAAAGATGGTCACTACATATTCCTGGGGGAAGAAAATAGGTTAGAAAGTAATATTGTAGTATAATTCTATTTTTGGCAGGAAAACTACATACTTATGCATATATGTATATATGCATGTGAATAAAATAATCTGTGAATGAACTTGGAATAAAACTTTATTCTGTTATCTCTACTTAATGGTATCCCAGGAAACCTTTGTTTTGTTCTTTTAAGTCTCTTTAATTTTTTAATAAAAAATTTTTAAATTTCTATCAATTATACCTGAGACATACATTAAAAATAGCTCTGTCTACGGCCATGCCACCCTGAATGTGCCTGATCTCATCTGATTTTGGAAGCTAAGCAGGGTCGGGCCTGGTTAGTACTTGGATGGGAGACCACCTAGGAAGACCAGGTGCTGTAGGTGTTAAAAACTAATAATAATTAAAAAAAAAATTGAAA